CGGCAGTTCTCGTGCTTGGCTTGACCGTATTGACGTGTCCTCATCACTCCTCTGTCGTAAAATGTTCTGCAGCCTCGAAGCTTTATCATTCTCACACTATTGTATTGTTATTGCGAAAATTGGTGAAAATCAGCACAAACGATTCCGCCCCCAGTGGGCCTTTGGACAATGAACGTGAAGTTCTTCTGATATCAAAAATTGATGAATTCTGTCCAGATGGCAATGAAGCAATCTTTTTTCAATGGGTTTGCATATATTCGCTGTTTGGCAGCTTTTTAAACAATAAGTTCGTGCTATAATTTCAGAAATTGGGGCTGTTAGGTCTTTCTGTAGAAAGAATGATCAAAAGATACTTCTCAAAAGCCTTTGCGATCTTTATGAGATGGAATGCGAAATGGCGGGAAATTACATCAAAGACATTGAGAATATTAAATGCGACGGACATCTGTTCCAAAAGTAGGAACTCCCAGACTTACCAGAACAACAAAGATTTGATATGCAATCATTTCAAGGCGATATACAAGTTTCCACACCAAGCATGTGGAACTCATGGACTTTCTCGTGAACAAGTGACGCTGTTGTACTGAATAAGAACCGGCTCTGCATACTCCCCGGCCTGGTCATTCAAGACTGGGAGATACGCTTCCCCGTTCTGTGCCTTCTGCGGTGACATCGGGGATATTGAACATTTCATTTGGCTTTGCCTCCAGTTTGATGTGCAAAGAGCAGCGATGATCCGCACCTTGCAAAAAGGCTGTCATAGGCACCGGACAGTTGATGACGTCATTTTTCCTGAAGGACCCGCGGCAACTAGGTGGAACGTGCAACAAATTTTGTTGGTCTTCCTGCGAGATACTGGGCTGTCTGACACGGGGTGACAATTTCCAAATTCAGGAAATGCTCAGGCGGAACAATTGCCGGCCATGCAGGCCAGGCTAACCCCGCCTGCTGCAACACCACCACCACCACCACCACCACCACCACCAACTTCAAAGATATGATACTGCTCGCTACCAAGGGGCACGTATTGAATCTCGGAACCAACGCACCTTAAACTCTGAGCAACCGACGCGCCAAGCTTTACTTGATGAGCAACGCCATGCAATTTCTAAAGTTCTTCCAGACTTGTCCTCTAACGGTGTGCTCGTAAAAGATACAAGAGACAATAACTTGGCGTTCTAAAAGTACTGTAGCAGTTTACTTAGCTCTCCCTTTGATTTTCCTCACGTTCACCTCAAGGCTAGTACTGTTTCTCTTGTGAGCACATTGAAGAATAATGATTGTGCAGTCATTCATGAACCCATTATTATACAGGAAGTTGAGCAGGCAATTGACAAATTACCTTTATTGAAAACATCTAGCCCTAATAGCATCTCAGGCGAATTTTGCAAAACTTTCAAAAACACGCTTGCTCCTATATGGCTGAATATTTTTCAAATATGTGGATACACTCCGACAATCTTTTTGCAAAATTCACTCTGTGTTAGCACCGAAAACAAATGAAAAGGAAAAACCTTGGCCCGACGAGGGCTACAGACCGATATCTCTGTCAAACGTGCATTAGAATATTTTCTGAAATCTATTATCTAATAAGTTGCAATTTGCGATGTCGATTCTCATTAGGCCACATCAGACATGTGGAATCAGGGGTTTATACACACAGAACAATGTACATGTCGCTCATACAGTGCTTCAATATTGTCATAGTTATCAAAAGCATCTTTCAATGCTATACAGGTAGACCTTGCAAAAGCATTTGATCGTGTTAGTCATTCCTTCTTTTTTTATCTTCTTGGTAGACCTTGCAAAAGCATTTGATCGTGTTAGTCATTCCTTCTTTTTTTATCTTCTTGAGCATGCCAATGTTGGCAAAGTTGTTCTTTAATGCATTAAACATTGCTATAATGAATGCTCAAATCGTTTGATTGTTAATGGTCAATTCTGCAAGCCTGTCTCTACATTCGCTCTTCTGTAAAACAGGGATGCCCAATGTCACCTCTTCTGTTTACACTTTATCTAGAACCACTGTGCTCAAGCATAATACAGTCGACTTGCATACGTGGCATCAGTTTATTAGGCCGTGAAGTTAAAGTATCAGCTTATGCAGACGATGTCGCTTTTTTTTGCACAGATTAGCCAAGTGTCGAAAATGTGGTATATGCTATCGAAAAGTTTGGCGCCGTATCAGGAGCTCGTTTAAATACCTCTAACAGCTTAGGACTCTGGTTTGGCTTGTGGGGTAGCACGCCAAATCAGTTCGCAGGGATTAATTGGACAAGAACTCCTCCAACATACCTCAGTGTATAATTGCATGTGTATAGATTCAGTGAGCATTACTGGAAGGAGCGCGTCCCTAAGCTTGAGCGACAAGCCCAGACTTTTGTTACCTATAAACTTTCAATATTTGAGAAAGCTGAAGCTTGCAATACTTTCCTAGCGACAAAGCTTTACTGTGTATTGCAACCTATTCATTGCGCAAGAATTATATATAACGTTTTCATTGGGTTTTCGCTTCTTTTATATCGCCCATGCGTCGTGACGACATATTCAAGCTAGTGAGTGAGGTTGGGTTAGAAATATAACATTTTTATCTATATGGCAAATAGTGTCAAGATTATTTTTTTTCGAGATAATTCCCATCCTGTAATTTGTTTTTTCTTGGAGGTTACACTTTTTGATTACTTACCAGATCCAATTGTTTCATCCAATTTCTCCGAATGTTTGTGGCAATTCATACAGGAAGTTTACCTCGCAGTTCAGTTCCTTAAAGCTCGCTTTTCTGTAGAACACCTGTACACAGTATCGCACAAGGTACTGTATAAGGATCTACTAAGTATGCTCTTCCTGCCTCCGTTGCACCGTTCATTTTACTCTGATCTTCCAGGCCACGATGTGTGGAAGTGCGTGCGCAAAATGTACATTCCACCGAATTCAAAAACATTATTTCATAAACTACATTCTGAAACAGTGGTGGTAAACACATGGTTTGAAAGGGAAGGTATTTTTATTCCATCTGTTAACTTCCATCTATGTGATGTGCTGGAAACAATTGAACATTGTTTTCTTAGCTGCAAAGATGTCATGCTGTTTAGGAATGTCCTTTAGCGAGCACTGAAAAAACGTTTCCTCATTAATTCTCGCACCAGAAGTTATCTTTTACCAGCATCGATTGATGAAGTGCCATATGATAAGTTTTTCCTCATGGGTATGCACAGCTTATGGGAGACACGAATGCAGGACCGCAATACGGAACCCACCACCTCTTCAAGCACACACTTCATTCAAATGGCCCTTTACCACAAAGACACTTATGATGACCTAGACTTTAGACAAGACTGGTACTCCATCTGAGTGGCGATTGGCCTGAACCCTTTCTTGTTTTAAAACACAATGTGATGAATCCTCGATGTGGCGGACTCATGCTATATTAGCCATTGAGTGTTTATTAGTAACGCTTGAGTGCTTATTGTCGCCATGTGGTTGTAGTTTGTTTGCTAGATTTTGTCTTTCTTACGCAAATACTTTATTTAAAAACCATGAGAAAAATACTTCGTGGTATAGTGGTTAGCGCCGCGCGCTGTGAATCAACGTGCTCTTAAATTTAGATACACGGGCCTAGAACTTTCTCGCCTCCGTCGAAACTGCGGCTGCCACGGCTGGTATTGAAACCCATGACCTTCGGGTCAGCAGTGGAGCACTATAATCATTACGCCACTATGGCGGGGGAGTTAAAGCAACATAATGAATACGAAGATATAAGAAACGCAGCCGACGATGGCAAACAAGAGGGATGAATAAATTAGGAAGTTGGTAGGCACCAAATGGGATCAGGTAGTGCAGGACAAGGTAAATGGAGTCAGTAGGAGAGACCTTCACCCTGTGGTGGACGCACAACAGGCCGTAGAAACAGAACAAGAATAAGGTCATCACACGCATATATTTGTTTGTTCTCTTATCTCAAAATGGCAACTAAAAGTTAAACTGCCCAATAATTGACTGATTTCCCGTATAAGCGGGATAGTTGAATTCAGTTGGATAAACTTTATTTCATGATGAGACAAGCGCAAAAATACACACACTCACTTTTTGTTTGTTTTTGTTTTTTGCCTTTTGTTTTTTGTTTTTTGTTTTTGTTTTTGTTTTTGTTTTCTTTTCTTGTTTTTTTTTCTTTTTGTTTTTGTTTTTCTAAGTTGTTGGCACGTGTTTGTTTCTGGTTGTGGGCGCATGCATATTTTGTTGTATCACGTTGTTGATAATGACAGGGGAAGTCGGGAATGACGTACATGCGTGTGATGTATTTATTAGTGTTCGTTTCGAAATAAAATTTTCAGTTGCTAGTAAGCGCTTGTCTGTGTCCTCTCGGAGTGTGTGTATTTTTGCACTTGTCTCATCATGAACCCTTACCAACACGCCCAACTGGCAGTCATCCTAAACTTTATTTGTCCAATTGTCCAACGGTAGTTGCTGTGCCCGGGGCTAGGCTGCTGGGGACACATCGTTCGAGGAACATCTTCCGAGGTCCTCGGCGACGGCCCACACCTGGTCTTCAAGGGCCTCACTGAGAAGGGCGGCTTATGTTCTCTTAAGTTCTGTGGGAGAATTCTGATGTTGAGACCATTCTGCTGTGTTAACACTGTTTCATGCATATTTACGTGCATTCCAGCACTGCTAACGAGGGAGCATTCGTTGGGTATTATACCAGTCCTCCCAGACTGGTTAACATTCCTGCCCTTCCTTTTTTTCCTGTTCATTCCGTCTGCCTTTTTCCATGCGTTTACTTGTCGTGGTTCTTGACAAATTTAATCACAACTATTATGTATGAGAAAAGAAGTAGCCTTTGCATCACATTGGTTCAAACATCTCAGTTTAGGCATACGTAAAACAATGAAAAAAAAATTTAGAAGGATTGGTAATGAAACTGGTGACTAACTTGAGCAGATACACTGAAGGAGATTCGCTTCTGAATTCAAATCCTTTGTTCTGCTTCGACTGTCTTGTAGGAACTTTCACGTGTGGAACGAGGTCTGGATGAGGCGGCTAGATCTTGGAAAGGGTGAATACGATGGATGGCAGGTCATCGATGCTACACCACAGGAAATGTCCGGAGGTAAGCAACATGCGTGATCCGGTATCCTTCTAAACCTCCTAGTGATATTTTAGGTGGAATTTAACGACTTAATACTATCCTAATTAAGTGTTTAGCGGTTTTCTAAGCCGTTTTGTGAGAAGAAATGTTGCCTTGCACACGGTTCTAATTGATTTCGTGTTCACGCTAACTTCCGATTAGCATGGCATCTTTCATAATCATATGGTGGTTTTGGGACGTTAAACGCCACATATCAATCAATCAACTTCAAATTAGCAGTAAACTAGTTCGTAGTTTTAGTACATACGCACGCTATTGTGGTCGTAAACACGTCGCACAGCTGTGTTATATTTTAGGTAAGAAGGCAAACTGTCACTGCCATCAGACAAAAAAAATCACAGCATATCCACGGAGTCAATGAGGATGAGTGGGGCGAAGCGCTGGAGGATTTCATCGCAAAACCGTGAACCATCCGCGAATGTCGCCCACTACATCACCAAGGACGTGACAAACACTGTATATATTTATACAAAAAATTTATTATTCGTAAATGGTAAGCTATACGTCGTTTGCGTTCCCCTTTCATTACAACGACCGGCTTTATGGTCGCTGAAGTGGTGGATTGGTGATGGGGCGTAGCGGGATGTTTGCAAGGACGAAGTAGTGGGCAGTTGCCAGTTTGCAAAGGTGGAACCATAGTCGGTCACGCACAAACAAGAGATGGACACAGTGGGACAATCTATGGTTCTTTAACGCGCACCTGCATACAAGTACACGGCCATCTTGCATTTCATATTGGTTACTTCTCAACAGTATTTGCTTTGTGGTCGGTGAAGTGGTGGATCCGTGATAGGGTATAGTGGGATGTTTGCAAGGACAAAGTAATGGGCAGTTGGCAAAGGTGGAACTATAGGCGGTCACATACATACACACGAGGAATGGACAAACTCACGCCTTTAGGAGCTTCGCCCCTAAAAAGGGAGAGAGTGAGTGTGTGCGTTCACGCGACATGAGCATTTGTTGAGCTGGATATGAATATATGTATTTCAAGATTGACGTAACAATACCAACAAAAATGAAATTAGAACAAAGGCTGAGCAATGTTCTCGGACTGAAAGATGGAGCAACGTTCACAGACATGCGGTAGACGACGTCCGTCTGTCTACTATACTTCAAGAAGCTGAAAGGGTCCGGGTGGTGTGTCCCATCCGCCTATCTCGATACTAGCGCAGCTATCTGCGTCGAGAACGCCAGCCACTACTGGTATGACATGCTGGCGCTCGACATTAAAGACGGACTGTTTACGCCAAGATGACAGTAAGTATCGTCCTTAAAAACGCCAATATATTCAGCATCGCTATATTTGATGCTCTCAAAAAGGGATCTAAGTATCGCATTAATGTTATTGCTATAGTGTATTTGTTATCAAAACTTGCCATTTTTAACGGCGAGTTTGGTCTAGCTCGGCGTACACCCAAAAATATTATCGTCGTCAACCGGCACACGCGCGTTTCGTGCTATACCTCAGCTTCAACTTTTCTCCGGTGTAACTTGTGATAGTCCTGAAGGGTGGAAGAACCAGTAGAGGGAGAAAGAAAGAAAGAGGAAGTGAAAAAGGATCAAAATAAAAAAGCAGAATGAAATATTTTAACGAGGCGGGAATCGAACCCCTGTACCCTTGATCTGAAGGGAGCGTCCTTACCACTCGGTTATCCAGGAGCAGAGCCTTGCATAGTGCATTGCAGGAAGAGGGTGGGAAAGGGAAGTGAGTGTGAGGAGGAGAGACAATAGCAGGCGAGAGAGTAAAGCGTAACACAAAGATTGTGAAAGGAAGAAATACAGCGAAATAAACGCAAAAAAGAAAGAAGGAGAGAAATGAAAGAGAGAATGTCAGAAATAGAATAGGAGACAAATTAAAGAGAGAAAGTCAAAAATAGAATGAGAGATTGAGGGAAAGGAACAAAGGAATTAATGAGGAAGGCACATAGAAAGAACAAAGAAGAAAACAAAGGGAGAGAAAAAACATAAACAAAGAGATAGGAAAGAAAAGACGTAGAAAAAACAGAGGGAACAGAAAAGAAAGAAATATACGAAGGAAAAAAGAGAAAGTTAGCACAACTCAGCAACGCTAAAGAACAGCTCTGCTTTCTATTACGCATTGTATCTTTAGTACAAGCTTCGCTAATTATTAGTATTTTTGTTTGGTTCCTTTCAGGCATTTTCACTTGCGGACCTTCAAGCGTGAAGGCCATCAAAGCTGGGGAGCTTAATAAGCCATACGACAGCACTTTCGTGTTTTCAGAAGTGAACGCTGATAGTATTTATTGGCGCTATGAGAGCCCCAGGAAACCGCTCAAGATGCTCAAGAAGAACACCGATCAGTGAGTGGTTCGGATTCGCTTGTAAAAGCGTGTCTCATTCAGAACTCGAAAAATGCTACACTTTCTGGCGCAACTTTGTGCGTCTGAACGCATATCATAGCTATATGCACGCCTTTGCTTTCAGAGTCGGTTTGTTTGTCAGCACCAAAGCTGTGGGCCGCTGGGAAAGGGAAGACATCACCTTGGAATACAAATTCGCGGAAGGTACGTGGATACCAATATTACTAGATGGATTATTACAATATATATAGACTACCCTGGGGGCATTATAGAAGCGAGTATATATATGCAGGCGTTACGTTATCCTAGACGTATAAATACGCTGATCAATCAAAATTTTAAACAGTAACCTAGGCATACAATGTGGGCAGAAAAGAATAAATTCACCATTACAACTAAGACTTGTGGGATAGTGGTTACTTCGATGACATTATGATGCAACAAGAAAATTGCACTTTAATGTTTCCGCTCAGGAATACGTAGACATCACAGGAAGATCTGTATAAGGGAGTGCTTCCTTCACGATGCATTTCTTAGAGTGGTCCACTGCGGTAGTGTAGCAGTTATGGTGCTCGGCTGCTGACCCGAAGGTCGTGGGATCGAATCCCAGCCGAGGCGGTCGAATTTCGATGGAGGCGAAGTCGTAGAGGCCCATGTACTGTGCGATGTCACTGCACAACAAAGAACCCTGCAAGTGGTCGAAATTTTCAGAGCCCTCCAATACAGCGCCTCTCTCATAATCATATCTTGGTTTCGGGACGTAAAACTGCAGATAATAATAATATTTTTTTCTTAGAATGGCACTATTGCTACAAAACATTCTATAAGATGTGCAAAATGTTGTTTTAACACGTAACCTACCTGTATTCAAAATTTACCGGATGAAATTTTGTTTTTATGAAGAGAGACTCGTATTCAGATGCATTGTAGCAAATTAAAGAAAATAATTGGGGCATCTGCACAACACCAGTGCGAAACACCTTTATCCTGTGAATAATGTTGCTTCGACAGTGCCGTATTTACATGGGCTGTATTAAACAAGAAATCTTTCCCCTCGCTGTTCTAAAGTGTTGTTCGGTCTAGCATTTTTGTCGTTTCTGACTGTTCAAAAATATTAGAAAAATATTCGGTATTTCTAATGTACACCATTCATGAAGCTCCATGAACTTAATCAACAAAAGAACCTGGCACGAACGTGTAGTAGCACCTAGTTCGCCATAATGAGCACAGAGCTTCTTCGGGTTCTGCCTGTGGCGTGATATTTATACATTTTAGCGCCCACCCACTAATTAAAACTCCGCTTGATTCGAACACTTTTATAATCCTCCTCGAGTTCAAATTAACGAGCTTTTACTTTACATCCAAAAAGTTTCCTTTCCAGAAGTATTTTTTCTCGGATGTTGGATACTTTCTTCGAATAACATGCATCTGCAAGTCGAATGCCGGTGGCCATCTCCAAAAATGGCGGGTTCACGCAGTCATAAGCCCACAGACAGACAATAGTGAGATTGCTATTAAAAACGAAAGGAGGTCTAATCATTCCGTAGCCGGTAGGAAAAGGTGTCAAATTTTCATACTTTAGAAGAAAAACAATAAAGCTGGCGTAAAGCCCTTGTATGTTTTAACGCGAACAGAATTCAGTCGTAGAAGAGTAAATTCACCCGCCCTGTATACTCGTAAATGATAGTATAAATTTGCAAATCTCTCATTTGAAGCGGTTTTTTTTTATTAGTCACTTGTATTCATCCTTCGATTACATTTTTTCTGAGGAACAGAAGTAACGAACGATCATTTTTAAGAGTGAATCACTCGTGGTTTAATATTTTCAAAAAGTTCTTACGTTAGGAGGAAAATCTAGCCAAATACGATGTCGGACATATTGACATCAGTGGGCAGCAAATTGTAGACACCTCCTGATAACAACAAAATGTAGCGTGTATTGGACAGGTTCAAGAAAGCACTGTTAGTGTTCGTAGCGTGTATACTGTTTTTCCTTGTCCGCGTGTTCGTGTTCCTTACGCAGTCACTTCTTAACAGGTTCAACAATAGACCAACTAGCCCAGATGAAAGTAGGAAAGACAAGCTTTGTGCATTGCCAAATATTTAAGCACATACAAGGAACGTTGTTCTTTTGAAGCACCGCTCTTTTTTTAGCGAATATGACTGCTCTATAGATTCAGCTGTTCCTCCGTAGACTAAGGAACTTTCTTTCATAATGTATTACAGCGCTTTAGGCATTTGGTGCCGCGCAAAACTAGTCGCTCTCATTACGTTCTCGTCAGTTATCTTTGAAGTGGATACTGAGGGCGGAGCACCTTAGGGGCACGGTCTGTCGTATGCCGTCGTCGGCGCTTGGCGTAACGCAGGCAAAACCACGCATGAAAATTGACAAGAGAAAGGATGCAAGTGGGAAATGGAGAGAGAGCAAAAAATAAATATGGGAAGAAATATAAAAATTATTTGAAAAAGACAAATATTGAAAAATATAAAAAGACAGAAAAGAAAAAAAGGAGAAAACTGAAGAGAATATAGAAGTGATGTGTTCGGGGTCAGCCCAGAAGACCGAAGCCAGCCAGAGTCTCGGGGAGATATCGAGGAGAGGAGCCCGTAGCCGTTAACAGTAGCTTTTATTTACATTATTTACAGGTAGCATGTTACTACATGATGGGAGCACCATCACGGTAGCTCTCGATGGAAGCATGATGGTAGCTTCTGAGAGCTTGTGAGAGCTTGTCAGGGGCACCTCAGCGCTCGCATTTTCTGTCCTGGCCTTCACAGGATTCTCCGCAGGAAAAAAACAATGGAAGCCAGGACAGTCCATTGAAGTTTGTCATCTTCACCTCCGCCCCCGAAAGGGGAAGGTGAAACGCCGCCTCCTTCCTAACCCAGGCAAAGAGGCACGCCCAGTTCAGCCCGTGGCGAGGGTGAAAACACTGCACACCGTGCACGACATAGCACAGCACGAAGACGTTGACTCTTACATGGAAGTCAATATCGTAGTCTGTTGCAGTGATGGTTATGCGGTGCTAGGCAGACCACAAATTGTGGAAACAGCGGCGTCAAGGCACTACGGAGAACGTGGGAAATGCATCCGCAGATGGTTCTCAGACGCTGGGCCCTTTGCCCGGGGCACCTTGACAACAAAGCAAGCCGCCTCGACGGCCAACAACTCTTCCTTATCCATCAATTGGTCATGCGTGTCCAAAGGGTTTTACGAGGGGCGCCGACGACCTGGGATAACTAGAAGAATGATTTCTCTCTTGTCGCCGCTCTTGGTGCATCTCTGGGAGTGCTGACTCGGAATAAATTAGGGTAGGCTCAGCCACATTGTTCATGCGTCAAAGGGGCGTCAAGCTAGGCAGGCCGATCATAACAGCCGGCTGCTCTGCCCCGTATTTCCGTCAGGCTTGCATTACTACTGCGAAGCTGCCCTGATTTCTTTTTTATTTTTAAAACTGGGAATTTATTTCATGAGCTGTAACACGCAGTGGCATCTTTGTAAGTAGAATTTTTGTCTTTAAATTTTGTTGCTCACCTACCACCCGATTATTGTCCTATCAACCGCACGACATAGCGGGTGTGTGCTACTCTTGATGAACAATAACAGCCCCTAAACAAAATCCCATCTTTCCACCCATTTGTATATTTGCATGTAAGCCTTTAGTTGCGAGGAGCATGCAAGGTCCAATAAGGCCTGGAAGCTTTATGGTGCATTCGGAACAAAGACTCTTCCCTCCTTAGAGATTTACTTTTCACTCACAACTCACTGAACTGCCACGTTCTTTTTTCCCAGGTTCCCAAGACGAAAGGGACATCGTTTTGAAGGCTCTGAGGGAAAACAACCATGCGTACGCGCGGTTCTACCTAAATGACTCTATGGACGACGTGCAATTCGCTATCGAGCCCATCAAGGAAGTGCTCGTCGGATCCTCGATAGTCGTACGTTAAGCTGCAACCTCTTGAAAACATTTCAAAATGAAAATCGGAGAAGCGGGACAGAATGCACAAGTGACAGTATGCAAAGTTCACAAAGTGTGCCCTTGTAATCCGAATCCTGCACTAGGAAGCGTCTTATTGCGTTAGCAATTAAATGGACAGTCTCGGCTGGTTTTTGCCGTCACCGCCGGTCATTCACGATATGTATATGTATGCACATATATACGCGGACGGATGCCCTATAGGCTTCTCTTTCTGCTGAGCGAGCATCACCTTTCCGGCCAGGGTCATCCAACAGGGGGAAGGAGGGGGGGGGCGCTTATGCTAGCAGCGATATTACGGCAACGATCAGCGCGTGGCTCTTGTCACCACAGCAGGCAGGGGCTTGTACGGGCTGCGCTATCAACACACAAAAAAAAAACGGTGCCAAAAATTGCGCCTGGAGCAGCCGTGTTCTCTTACTAGCTTTTTGCAGTTACGTGAGATCGGATGCTGGCCTTGCTTCTTCAAACATTCAAATATGTTCTATCGCATTTATTGCTTAATCCTTTTAGAGAAACTGTGAATTTTACGCCTACGAGGGCACTTCCGTTCAAGAACTATTGTTCCAGTCCACCACGAAGCATCAATGGTTACGGTGCACGGCGGCCAGCCTGAAAGTCATGAATTCGACGCCGGCCGCATTACAATGAAGGCGGAATTCTGGATTCCGGTATACTATGCGATGCAAGTGTTCGTTAAAGAACTCCATATGGTCAAAATTTCAGGAACCTCCCCCTTGGGTGTCCCTCACAATCACACCGTGGTTTTAGGACGTGAAACACAAGATACTATAATTATATTTGTTCAAGATGGCGAATAATATGGTACTCCACACCGCGTTGATTCTCATGCTGCAGCAAAGGCTGGGGTAGAGCAGCGCCAGACAACAAATACGCTAGGAACGGAAAGAGGACAAGACGTGTGCTGTAGGCCTACTCTCAACTGAAGTCTTATTTGTTGAAATCGTTCTTTATGCGCAGCCTGAGGCCATCACGCGTACATGTGCGAGCAAACCAAGTCATGGTGGCATCGAAAAAGTGAAATGCCGCATAGGTGAAACAGACAAAGCACAGCAATACCATAACAATGTGACACTAGGCTACACATCTCAAGAGATATTAAAATTCTTCAGGTGGGGGGGTTACAGATGCCCGACTGGTAATGTGGAGGCCATCAAATATTTCTTTGTTGCATTGTTACGACGGCGGTAAAGTATTGCTGTGTCACTGAAATTCGGATTGGGACTATAAGAAATACAATTATTCACCAAATTGTTGGACTTGGTGGTTGAGAAGGAGAGTGCACGTTGGGAATCACGCAGCCTTATGTTAATGCGTCTTTCTATCTGTCCAAAATACGCCTTCATGTGCAACAAACGGCGCATATACACAGGGAATGAGTGAGTGGGCGAAACAACTTTATTTGGTCCGCAATAGACAAAAGTTAACTCATATACACGGTACCCAGTTTACAAGCTATGCACTGGATGACATGTTTTGCTTGACGCCCACATTTAACAGCTGGGTGGCTTAATATGTTAGTTAAAAACAGCGGGATACAACTAATAGACAGGAAAGACCAAATAGGACTAATGCTGATGCAAGTATGGCTGCCTGATCAGGAAAGCAGCTGGGCATTATACATAGCATATATACCAGGAAGGCAGAACACGCACAAGGTTCTAAAAGGACAGAGGGGGTGGGGGGAAGCAGAGTTCAATCCACAAGAAATTGACTTTAAAAGCGTAGGAGCTTGATCTCGTTGGTACATATTCACTTTGGAGAATAGCGCGATATAATGATGGCAGGAAAGATGAAACAGGGCTAGTCCTGTTTAGTATTTGCTTTGCTCGTTGAATCGGGCTATTTTCTACAATGAATATGTACCAATATGCTCAAGCTTGTACGCTTATTCGTTAATTACGAAGATGCAAATCTCATAAGGGGACCGAAAGCTTTCTTAAAAACTCGTTTGACCTAGCGACAAAATTACTAAAATGGTAACATTGATTCCAGATCCGGGCTAAAGCTATCAACAAAAGTCCGTCTAGGGCCTACCAATGCAAGATTGCTATCCGCATTGAAACGGTTACCTACACTGGAACGACCAAGAGAGCACTCAAGCATCAGAATTTTCCTATCAGCCTAAGGCCAAATGGCGGTAAGTACACATCGCATGATGCTTTCCCAAAGTACGCTTTTTTTTTAAACCGTTGTATTCGATCAGCCAGAAAGCATGGAAAGAAACTCTTTTTATAAGTTAGAGTAGCTGGGATAGAGCAGTGCACTGGCCCGGGCCCGACCCGTTGGTTGGCCCGGGATGGGCCGGGTAAGAGGTTATTGACGCGGGCCCGGGTCTAGCCTCGGGCTTGATTCAGGCCCGTATTAGGCCCGGGTGGCATACATATGGCATGTGTTCGCTGCTTGGCTTTGTTGTTTTGTGGAGTTTAACGTCTTGAAGCGACCCAGGTTATGTGAAAACTTCGAAGTTGAGGCCTCCATGTAATTTATACCTCCCGGAGTGCATTAGCAGGCACTGAAATCGCAAAGTACAAGTCGTCTACCATTTTTCTCCATCGGTATGCTACGTGTTGTTTCAAGAAACTCGTAATATAAGTTTCCACGATTTTATTAAGTGAAAGACGCTCTAGGGTACCGCCTTAAGAATAATTTACGAGGCGATACGCTGCAAGGGCATAGATACACTACTTACATTAGTGGATATAATATGAGCAAATTTGTATCTGGGGAAACATTTCGAGTATGCAGCTATGCTCGAATGCCCGCCGCGCCTGTTTCCGCTTGCGTGACTCCGCAGACGGGTCAACGTGACTCGTGAGTCATTATTAATATCTCAGGAGCTGTTTTTCGTACACTTCAAGTGCAAGATGCGAGGTTACTCTCATCACAGGCGCGCTAATTGATGTACTTGTTGATGATTTTTTGTGCTAGCAATGCAGTCACAAATATTTATCATTTGACAGTTATCCAATAATATTTAGTATGCAACTCGAATGCCCGTCGTACAGAGCATATTCTTGCTTATTTTTATGGCCACCTTGTCTTTGTCATAATTCGCCAGTAATTAAGTCCTCATTTGTCTAAGCACAAGGAAAGAAGGAAAATAGGAGAAAAAACGGCAGGGAGGATCTAAGCGCAAGTGTTCTCATGGAGCTCAACAAGATGGAAGAGCTTCCGAGGCGGAAGTAAGAGCTCCAAGGAAGGTGATGGTTATGATGATGATTTTCTGCTGTGCCGTTTGTACGGAGGTAGTGTATCAACATGGGTGTATAGTCACCTTATACAGCATAAATACTTCACGGCACACCGAGTGGAAAAATTTTTCCTTCCTTCACACGTCTTTCTCTAATTTTGGCTGTTTTTTTGAATATTGATGAAAAATTAAAACACATCAAAACCGAGGAAACGAGTCCCCATTCTTGTAAAAAAAAAAAATTAACGTATGCAGGTTGCACGCGCATAGCTTCTCTCTCCTTGGTGTCTGCAGAGGTCCAACCTACTTGCGTCGCATGATTTCGCAAGCTGCATAGCTGCTTCATTGAAGACCGGAGGGGGTCTCATGTACTGTGTACCACATGTTTGTTGAAATTTCCGGGAATGCCTACCGCTTGGCTCGTTGAAGTGTTTCTGCTGGACATGTGGCCTCTTCTGTATGCCTTCTAACTTTTCTTCCCCACCACAGTCCCAGTTTTTTTTTTCCTTTTTTACACACATATTCTCCTACGCTTTGGCTGCCACGAGCTGCAAGCATACAAACACAACCGTAAGCCAGACAGCCGGACTTCGCTCCCTTGTTTGCACCGAAGCCTTCGGCCTTTGGCGACTCGGCAAAACACGCTCCCGCTTTCGGTCTCTGCGGGGATCGCACTCTAAACACCCAACATACCACGTTCCACGGAGAGCGCTAAAGAAGCCGCTGGCTGATTCATTTCGGTGCTCTATATTATTAACCGTTGTTTTGGAAGCCCTTCGTCCACTCTTGTTTCAAGACAAGACACTTTCAGAGAACGAAGGTGGTCACACGAAGACTACGACATAGGTATTTTCAGCGAACAGCAAGGACGGTCACTCGCTCGCAAACGGGTGTGGGCTCGCTGTGGCAAATGTATGGCGCTGTGGTGACGGCGACTCGGGGAAGAAGGGTGGGGCAAAGAACCTTCTTGTTTTGAGCCTGAGAATGTAATTTACGTTGAAGGTAGTTGCCTCCGATTAGTCCACACGACAGCTTTTATTTATGTAAAGCTGCCCAGCCTAGTGTATTTCTCCCAGAAGCAGGTATAGAGGGCGTTTTTTCATTGCATTGTGTAATAAATGACGTTTGCACGAGACTTCCTACATTTACTCAATAGCCCCAGCTCGTATGAAATTTATGCAAACACATATCATAAATGTCTGCCACTTTATTGGAGTAGCATATTTTGCAGTCGCTCTTTGAAACGCAAAAATAAGGTGGTGTGGTTAGCACTGCGTACATGAGACTGCCAGCTATGACTACAGTTATCTTTTAAATTACCATGCAGTTTTTTCTCAGAAGTGTTACGGGTGTAATTAACTGAACTTGTACGGTGTACCAGTGAAAGTCGTGACTCCGAAAGTTCTCAAAACACTGACTGTAAAACAAACCCACGGTCAGAAATTTTTTTCGGGGAAGCATGGGGTAGGGCACTTGTTGAAGGCTTTGAAAAACACCTATTCTTATTATTTGTCGTTGGTAAAACACCCCCTCCTATATTCTAATTTTTTTGGTGGGGGGGGGGGGGTCGAGAGTTATGGGCATGCTAGCAAATATGTTGTGTCCGGCAGGTATCTTCACAATACCCGAAGATTGAACAGTGCCTCCCTTATACTCAAGGCACAATTGGCTTGACCTGGCCGGGCCGGGTCCAAACATTTCGGGCCAGGGCCATGTGCGGGCCATATTTAAAAACACTGGGTTGGGCTCGGGCGGGCCGGGGCATGGTGTTTTCGGGCTGGGCAGGACTCGGGCCACGATGTTCTTACACCCTGATCCGGGCAGGAAAAATCGGCCCGTGCAGTGCTCTCAGCTGAACCTGCAATCCCGGAAATCCCTTACGCAATAGTTGTTAGTAATCAAAAGTTTCTATGTTCGCAAATCGATCGTCCTCTAGCAGCGGAATTCAAGCAGCAGTTACATTCGTTAGGGTGGTCTAATAATTAATGTACTATTATTTTTTAGTAGTGGAGCATGGCTGTAGTAGATTAAAACGCCGGTTTAGTACAATAGCTGGGGCCTTTTACTCAATTGGATCATACAATAAAAAAAAATTGGCAAATCCCGCGTACCTTGAAATGTTAAGCGAGGTATACGAATGGAAGGTGACCACGCTGTAATTTTTTTTTGGGGGGGGGGGGGGGCGAAACGTTACAAAGTAGCGCCCAAGATGTGTGCTGTCGGCCACAAACGTGTGCAGGATCTGCACCACGTGGCTCAGTGGTAGAAAACTCAATGCTGCGCCGCCTATCTGCGCCGCGGCGTGATGTTCGCGGCCTCGGCGATTAGCAATGGCACGTTTAGACAATGCGCCGCTGCTGGATCTAATCTCAAAAGCCATGGCCCCTCTCGGAAACATGACGCACAGCAGATCTCGCAAAATGTTGAGGCCGACATTACAAATGCACGCACAGATGCATGTGAAACAACCACATATGTTTTATACGACCAGTTGTTTACGGTTACGTAATGATGCCAACAGCAACATGAACACTAGCAACATCAGAAGTGGTAAGTTCATATCAATTGCTGGTACACGCGAGGATGGTAGCCCAGCACCACGTTACATGAATCCACTTCAGCGAATGGCGAGAACCTTCAATTGATGTTAACCCGACGTGATGGCTGTATCATAGGAGTACATATGTAATAATTATAAAATTGGATAACCAAATGGCAATGGACGTTTCACGAACGAGTCTGTTTAAACAGTACTTCCGAGACCTTGCGTGGCTCTGTGGTAGAATACTTGATTGCCAAGCAGAATGTTTGGGCTTGGTTCCCGCCGGGGACCACGATATTTATTTTCTGTATTTGTCGGGTCAACGCTGCCGATGTTACCTTTTTTCTTAAAGCTCCTTTTTTAAAATTGCCCTTGTCTGTTATCCCCCTTCAGGGGTAGATAAAAGACGCCAAGCCTGCGCGAAAAGCGCCACACAGTCACAGCGAAAGCTAGAAAAGCGGCCTTTCAGAGCCTTTTCTAAACACTCATAGGTAGCAACTACGGCATTATTAATAATAATTTCTAGGTAGTAGACCAGCACTCGCTATGCCATTTTTCGTCATTCTTCTGAGAAGCGTTATATCCGCTGAAAATTTGCAAGAAATTTTGTGCCAATTGTACATGAAGTGGCTGACGACGATGAGGAATCCTGCCTGAAGTGAATATGCGCCACAGTAAATAGGTGATAAAAACAAGCTTTTGTAATGGTTTGGGGCATTGGACGACCCACTCGTTACGCTATTCACACGTGTGGTGCCTCGTTGTTCTTTCGCTGTTCTATAAAACTTTGTAACTCATAATAACGCGATTCCTTTCCCAACATCAAGTCTGCCTAAGGCCAGTTTTCGAACGAGTCTGAAGCACCGGCGTGGCTCAGTGACAGAATACTGGGCTGGCACGCAGCGGACGGGATTATGACATTGTTCATGTCATGACCAGCCAGCGATATTCCTCAAACTATCTTACTCTGCCATGCTGGTTTTGCTTTATTCCAAGCTCAGGGGGTGATCACGGGATCACCTAGACGTTGATGGCTAGATATATAGATAGAAAGATAGATAGATGCTCACAGTACCTGCAGTACGCAAGGAAATGCTTCGCGTTTAGAATAAAAACGCTGGTGACAAAAAAAAAAAGGCACTCGATTCGGTCCCAGAGGTGTTTTGCTGAGAACAATAGCTGCTTCCAAAGCAACATGCATGAAATAATTGATCTATATTTAGAGGAAACAGGAGTATAATTCTGAGTTTGTAAGTGTTTCATATCTCATATTTATTAACAAGTCATGTAATTCAGACCAGGTCATAGAGGAGTCCGCGAGAGCGCATGTGTGTTGATAGTTGCTTGTGGAACTTAGTGGGCCTAAGCATCTTGCAGTTTGTGTTACTATTCGAGTGAGTCTCCGTCAATCGTAGCTTTCCTGACTATGACTGAATGCACGTCTGTCTTCCAATATTTCATGCATATTTGGACCTGAAGCTACCCACGAAGATGATCATTTCTCAAGTTATTGGTGCTGTGTCTTCACAAGCGGTGTCAATTGAAAATACGTAACTTGGGCGAGCTAAAAGTTAGGGTGTAATCAAAGAGGCCACATTTTTCTTCTATACAGTACAAAGCCTACAAAAAATAGCACTCGGAAAAGCAGAGCGAAAATATTGGTCGTTTTGATTGAGATGTGGAAATGATAAGGTAACAAATAAATGAGTGAAAAAAAACAACTTGCTGCCTAAGATAGCTAAGCCGATAATCTACGCGCCCCCTTAAAGCCCGGTATTTTCTAATGCCTTTGCCGCTTTGACCACCTCCTCACAAAGTACTTCTTACTCATAGGAACAGTAAGTGGAAGGCTAGGCAACGCACAATGCGAAGTGTTATTTGTCTTTTTTTCCTTACATTTACAGAAGAAACATTTTCCTCGATTCCTTATTCAAAGCAGTAGTAAGTAAAAAGAGCCCCCCTCCCTCCAATAAAACGCAGCATGAATCTTTTTTTTTTTTACATTTGCAGAGGAGATGCTCTCACTGACGGTGCACTACAAGGACTACGAACGAGATGTCAGCGACCAGGCAACTTTCAAGGTTACCATGATGGCGACCATTCCGGAAGTCAAATACGACTACATTGCTCAAGAGGACTTCATGCTCACCATGCCCGAAATTGAAATTAAGGTATGCACACAACCGGAGCAACAATGCACTGAAAAAGAACAGGCTAAGCGACACCTGTACTGCTCGGGTCATCGACATAAGCGAAGTGGCGCTATTGTTCTATTGGTTGAGATTGATTTAACATACCGTATACTGCAAAGAGCCAGACGATGGCGAAGGAAGAAAAAGAAAGACACAATTCACTAGAATGCTGCGTGTTTTCTCGAGCTCATTTTTTCTTTCTATGCCTTGTATACGCACCTGTGGAATGAAACTAAACTCGCAGTTATCGGCGTTGCGGCTTTCTGTGTGCTCTCATACTCGCAGGCATACGGTCCGTGTACCGTGGGGCAGCGACAAAAGTTCACGGCAAGCTTCCAGAACCCTCTGCCGGGCAGACTTACCAGGTGCTTTTTCGCCATCGAGGGACCGGGCCTGAGCCGACCTTACTACCTCGCACTGCGAGAGTGAGTTATTCCACACTTTCAGTGAGCATGCTTGGCAACTGTGACGTGGTGCTTTTGAGCGCAGAAACGTGCTTTCAGTTTTGGGCTGCGGCTAATGCGTCGCGGACACTGTTGAATGTTGTCAGCTTGAGTGAAAGGATCGATGAAAAGCAAGGAAACAACACGGGTGCGTTTTTTCGCTTGTTTTAAGCTTATATCCAGGTCAGCTTGCGCGTCTGCGCGATATAAGGCAAAAACTGGTGCTATCGGATCAAGAGGCTTCTTTTAGAACGGTCATCTATAGATCAAAATAAAAGGCATGAACAGTGGCCACTCAGTGGGCATTTTATTATCTATTACAACACAGCGTCTGCGCACCGTGATGCATTTGTTATCTGAGGCGTTCACCGTGATCTGGGTTTGGTTTTTGCCTATATAAAACCAATGAGAACTCGTTTCACTTTTGTAGATTTCACTGTGACTCCGCCGATGTGATGCGATTTTCTGCGTCCCTGAGCGAGTTATCGCAGTATTTTCAAATAATGGGCTTGCCTGTTTTGCTGGCTAGTTATTGTTACCACCTGCTTCGAATTTCCGGGCCCCTAAAAACGGCATACTTCGTACGGGTTTCTGTAGACGAGCATGTTGGTCTTCCGTTACATTATGGTGAAGTGCCCATTGAGATTACTTGTTGCTATGATTTTTCCTTAGGCAGCCATTTCTATTCTAAAATAGCCTAACGCTGTGCTTTGCACTACAATTTTTCATTGATTTCTTTTTTTTTTTGCCCCATTTGCGAATCTGCGTTGCATGCTTACTTTCATACTTCGTATACCGTCTCGGTCATAGAGTTTCTCAAAATTAACTACAGGGCACTCTGGCGCTGCGATCTTTCAGTGACCATGGGAATTATGGGTAGTACACACATTTGTCTAGTCTTCGTACTTGCGGACGGCGAATCGTACTTGCGGCTTCATTCATTGCTGTGTTTTAGTTTTGTTTTGAAATAAAGATTCAAACCTTTTGAACTTCGTGACCAATTTAGAAAAGTAAGTCTAAAATATTGAGGTGGTGAAGCACAATCGTTGAACATTTACTGATTTTTGTTTCGTGAGAAAACATCTTCAAGTCACACGAACACACATGGAGCCAAAAGCAGGCCAGAAGTATGAAGTTTAGACAAATGTGTGAACTACCCATCATTCCCATGCTCACTGAAGCGCCATGTGTTGCAGCTCCCATAGACACTAGCGCCAGAGTTCCCTCTAATGTATATTAGGGAACTCTATGGTCTCGGTATCTCATTTTCTGTTTAGTTACAGCTGGTTGCTTACTTACGTGTCCAATTACTCTGTGCTTTGTTCCAAACTTTCATGACCATTTCCCTCATTCTGTGTACATAATTTGAACGAAAGATATTTGCGCTCCTTAGCTGCCTTTTTTTTTTCACCAGTATTTCATATATAGATGTTCTTAAAAACAAAGACATTGTTTGATGCTACTCTGACTTGAACGTAACCCCCAACATATTTGCGCTCCTTAGCTGCCTTTTTTTTTTCACCAGTATTTCATATATAGGATGTTCTTAAAAACAAAGACATTGTTTGATGCTACTCTGACTTGAACGTAACCCCCAACATATTGCTCATGCTGCAACAATGTCACCAAATACTGCCTCATAATTGTGGTTTCACGTGAGATCAGTCATATTTCTGCCTTTCACATGCAAGCTTTCATGGTTATGGTAAGAGCTGCAAGCGATATCCGTAATGAAAGAGACATCGCATTTAAATCTCCAACATCAGCTTGTGCAGGAGCTATTTCTGAGACCTCACAGGGTTCTTCCGCATTCGGCTGAAACGGCACATGTGAATGTTATTATTGTCATCATCTTCGGCATTATAATTATCATTATCATCATCATGATCATCATCATCACCACTATTGGGGTTTCAGACCTCATGTGAGTTTTCATATAACACGCAGCGTTTTTCGAAGCCAGAACAGATGAGGAACTTAACGGCGTTCTAAGAAAGCCAATTCCTCTTCGTGGCGTCCTGGCTGCATTGACTTCTAAATCGGCATAACAGTGGCCGCATAGCTGGTAGGACAGCAAACACTGCTCCGCGAATGTAGAGCAATGTGCGTTGGTTCTGTGATTCGAAGAATTTTACGCGAATACTACTCCGCAAAAATCATTTTGTACATGAATACAGCATGCCCAGCCCATCATCCAAATAAATTACTGATTTGCACTACTTGTATCTGAAGGCCAGCTGTTAGGGTATTACTTTAAGCGATGAATTGAAACTCACAGCTTAGATAAAATTCAAAACAGCACAGAGATACAGGGATAAACAGGTATACAAGTTGATATACTTTCGGCTAAACTTTCCGCACCAACGGAGCGTGTTATCAGTCTGCCCTTCATCAGTGCATTCATACATTGGCATGATGGGCGTCTTTTACAGAGGAGTACAGCCAAGGAGCGAAGCCTGGGTGGAGTTTGCGCTTACTCCAGCCACGACGGGACCGAGGTCTATCGCGGCCAAGTTCATATCCCAGCAGCTGAATGATGTCGAGGGCTTCTTGGAGGTCAACGTCCAGGGCGAAGAAGCCGCCAGTCCGACAATAACGAACGCCGTCGAATAGATGGTTGCTGTTCGGTCACGCTCCGCGCCGAGTGGCTTTCACACCTGGCAGATTCCGATGCTCGGCTTTCCAACTCTTAACTGGCGACAGTGAAATACGGCGCCTGTGCGCCCGTGCCTCGTACACGCAGGAGGTGCACTCAGTGGCCGAGTTATAAAAGTGACAGGGGATAAAACAAAAGGAAGAGAGCGCATTTGCGCCGTTCCATTCTTCCCTTTCGACCCTTCCTATTCCCACAAATATTAGTATAGTTTTGCAAATGGTCTACTCGTTTATCTTTGTTCCTGTCATATCTTTTTTTTTGCACCTCTGTATTTTGATCGTATGGGGTAGATGTCGCCTGACGTGTAAACAAGCTATTTCTATTTCTTTCGCACGACCGTGGGCAGCGTTGCGCGGTACATTTGCATGAAAGCACCAAGAAAAATTACTGCCGGCACAAGTATGTATAGTTTTCACGAGGATTGCATCGGCGAGAATAGAAAGAAATGGATAACATCAAGACAGCGTAAGGCGAAGCTGCCTCGCGACTTGGTCCCACTGTAGTAATGTAATGGTTGTCTGAGTTTTGAGAGAGGTCAATAAAGCAATGCGTGAATCTGCAGCGCTTTTCTGTGCTTTTCTTCCTTAACTATATACGCTCATTGTGATTGTATTCGTGAGTATTGCTATAAACGGCGAAATCTTACGGAAGTAGGATAATTTAAAGGGACGACAACATACCTCTCAATTATGATATTCGCACACCGGGGACGTACGTGTTTCAATAGAAACAAAACATTCAATCAGTAGAAATTGAATCTCGGTCAAGTTCTTAGCAGTGCGCCCTCAGCAAAGAAAAAAAAAACGAAACGTAAGCAGTTCTCCGTGTCTTCATGTACAAGAAACGATCAAGTCTCTCCCCACTTGCTGCGAGCGAACAATTTCAAACTGCCTCTACCAAGCGCTGCTTACCTTATTTCTTAAACTCCCCGCCAGATGGTGGTACAGATCCAAGTCCCGTGCCACAACGCGTGCAGCAGTTTGTATGAAATCAGCGCACAAAACCTGTGTTTGCGAGCGTCTCAAAAAAGTTTCATCAATAGTAGCCACAAGGAGCAGAGAAAGCTATCACCTAATTAAAGGATTAAATTAGGCAAATATTTTGACGCCAAATCGTTCAGTTTAGATGGGCACTTCAAAATTTCGAATTTAGCATAATCCGTGAAGTCTGTAATTAAAACGCTTAATGCACTTAGCGTGTAGTTGAACGAATTAGCCCGGAGCTTTTTTTGAAACACACTCTACCTGAAGAAATCATGCGCCAGCAGTTATTTTCTTGACGAAACAAATCTTTTTTAAAAGGCTATGACCGAAATACACGCAGTAGTCACCTACGCAGACCAACGCTTAGGCCAAGGTGGTAATGCTTTACCAATGCTGTAATATCATTGGAAACAGTATATAACAGACTCTTGTCAACTCACTTTTTAGTTATTATTTCGGTGGTGTATATATATTACTGAGATCTACCTGCGTGAATATATATATATATATATATATATATATATATATATATATATATATATATATATATATATATATATATACCATTCATTCCATCATACGTCACATGACTCCCCCTCCCCCCGAAAAAATGCATGACTTACAAACAAGAAAAAGTGAACAAGGATGGGCTTAGAAGTCACAAAATACCAAAAGGAAGAGGTAGATTTGCAAATTTTAAAATGCACGCGTCGTATTCTTCGTCGCAAAGACTTGAGGGGAGAGTGCAGCATTCCGGTGATATAAATAAAAGATCTGACGGGCAAGACTGATGGCTGCATTCTGGATAACACAAGAATGCTTTAAACATGGATATAGCAGAAATCGCAGCTGGCATTCTTGTGAAAAATGAACGATGTTCGAACGCCTTGCAGGATCGACAGTTCGGATATCGTAGACGTCGAATTCCTTGTCGTGGGTGATACACAGGCCGTGCAGGCAGCTTGCGTACGCGTTGAACGAGGTTGATTGGGCGCTGCTTGTGTTCCTGCCGAGTACAAGGGGTGGTTTTGTGGCTTTTTGGGGATTTTTTTGTTGCAATGTCGCAGATGTTTCGATCGAAGGTGCAATCTTTATTTTTGGTGCAGAATGTATCTACGACGATGTTCTTTTTTGCCGTACACTTTAAGTCGTAAGAGTGGTTTGGATGCAGTTTTCTTTCGTCGTTGACAATGTTCAAGTATACATCGACGTTGTAGTTCCTTGGTTTCGTCGACTTGCTTGTGGTGTGACATTGATCGCGGTGTGCCAACATTCTAGCAAGCCCTGCACAGCCCTCTATGACGTGAACCAATGTAGCTGTTTCCGGCGCAAGGCGGTGTGGGTAGTTTCGTGCACTTGAATCTTCTGTATTTATAAACCGTTCATTGCTGGTGGTTGCCTGAAGTGTACTTGTGTCGTCAGAAGTCGTACCTGCGCTTTTGTTTTCACTGTTGGCAGAGAGATTATATACTGGATTTACGTCGCTTCGATCTTGTGATTGATGAACATTGGACGCTTTTGCAGAAGACTTTTCTTCACAAGATGCTGATTGTGAATGCTTCTCTCTTTGTGGAATTGCTGAGCTGAATACTTTGAACGAATGAGATTTCTGTGAATATTCATTGTCTGGTTTGGTTTCGTGCGGATTTACTAACTCGTCATGCGTAAATGCGACGATCTTATGAAGTGCTTCATCAGGTTTATCAGTAACGTTAATGACAGGTGATCCCGCGTACATCGATCATAGGCTTGCTCAAGAAGGGGGTAAGAGGGCGGTCTGCCCCCATCTGAGGAGGGGCGCCAAGTATGCCCCATAGCTTCGCCCACTCGCACCAGTCGTGTCACTGTTTAAAAGGCGCGTTTACGACCATGTGGGTTCCTGACGACAATGATGGCCGATGACCATTGTTGTTGCATGAGAGCCAGGGACTAAGGGCAGATTGCTGAAAGAGGCCCGTCAGTCATCGCTTCATTTGTAGTTTTGAATCCCCGGCCAACACTCTACCCCCCTACCCCCCTCCAGTTTACGGGAACCTTGCGCACGCCAATAGTATATATATAAAAAAAAACTCGTGTCGCACTGCTATTTTCTTTTTCTACAAATTGTGGAGGACAAGGAGCATAAAAGTTGTGCACGAGATATTTTAATGGTATATTCAAGTTTTTAGTGTCCGTTGTAACCTGTCGCGAGGAAATATTGAATCCTAGAAATGAACGTGGCTATATATGCTCGATAATTTATTTTATCTCTGTTTTTTTTGCAAACAGGCGCGTAGCCAGAAATTTTTTCGAGAGGGACACCCGCTTAAAATTGCCAGTTTCGCTCTCTATACCATAGCGAAAAAACATTCAGGGGGGGGGGGGGTGAGGGGGCACGTGCCCGGTGTGCCACTTCTTGGCTGCGCCCCTGCATCTAAAACAGGTTACTGTGCATGGTACCTATTTAGCAATGGTTTCACGGATAGCATCTATGCGTGTAGATTAAGATAGACATGACTTGGGCAGGTCTAGCCGGCATTTTTAAATGTTTCAAGACATCATATCGTTGACCCCCTCCCCCCCGTTTACAAATATGTACAATGGTATTGACAAAGTTGTAGCAACGAGATCGCTATGCAGTGGTTTCAGATCGCGCAGTTTCCGATACCAATCAGACACTGAGTGCAAATAGCCCATGCCATTTTCTACTGTAATATCTGGGGTAGTTGCAATTTGTTGTAGCGGTGCTTACCATATTGTAACTTGAACCACTCTGCACAAAAAAGTAAAGAAATCATGACACAACGTGTTCGATAATCAAATGTGATGAACCAAGCCTACCACTGCTGTCTGAAAGAGAAAAAAAAAGACAGGTACTGCTTAGCCTATACTAGCTAAAGGACCATATTCAAACAACAAGCACACAATGCATTCCATTTGAACGACACATAGAGAATACTTACAAACCTTACGTATGACACTTCCACTGCTAAGAAAATTTTGTGCACAGTAGTACTTTTTAACCCTGTAAATATCACCGCTCCCTCCTCCCTTCCCCTTGGCGTTTTCAATCTTTCAATCAGCTTCAGTGATTCAAAAGCAGCTCTGCAATCTTTATGATCAGCTGGTTTTTGAAGTTCGGTATCTCCTCCATACAGCGTTTAAGAAAGGTCACCACGTCACATTTCAATGGCGGACAAGTCACTGCGGAATTATAAGCAATGATCACGCTGACAATGCTGCCCTATCAGCGCTACAAGGCAACAGGCTTGAGATAATATCGTTATCAAGGACCGACGCTGCCAGCCAACTTTGAGTGGCCACACAAAAACTCACGCTGTCCACTTGGAATACAAGCAGACAGCCTAATCAACTTCACTACAGCCCGAACACATTACAATTACGGACGCCTACTGGACTGCACCGAAATGACGCCACCCTACTTTGCCATTTATGGCTATAGAGTGGCTTTCACGAAGTCATTCTCATTTCGTATCGATATGGCTGAAAACCCCTTGTGGTAGCACGGAGGCAGTACAGCAGCTCTTCTGCGACTGTCCTCGCTACAATCGCAGAAAAAATCGCTAGCATCTGCACTAAATCGCATAGATCGCACCCTCATGACGGCAGACACCATTCTGGAATGTCATCCAGAGAGGTAATTGCAAGTGAAGGCGACGAAAGCAATCGTTAGCTTCTTGAAGGCAACGAACTTGGACCGTGGTTATAGACTAATAACGTTAGAATTACTGTGACGTGCGACATAGAGTGCGTGTGCTCTCCGTTCTCTTCCTCCCTCCATCTGTCAAACTCTCTCATTCCTGTCCACAGTGTAGGGTAGAACCAGTCGCTCTTATCCCTACCTTTTCTTTCTCTCCTGTTTTGTTCTGTTCTATGAGCTTCATCAGCGAACTACAGTGAGCCATCTTTACAGTGCTCGAGCAATAAACCCAGGTACTTAGCCAAGATTTTTGACCAAGAAACATTTCAAAAATGTGCTGGCATAATGTCCCACTGACAGTGCCGAGAACCGATGCTCTTCTCGCAATCGGTCTAAAATCCAGTGAGAGAGAAACAGGTGGAAAGGCAGGGAAGTTAGCTTGTTCTTAAGCTAGCTGGCTACACTAGGCGATAGAAAGGGGCCGAAATGAATGAATAAATAACGAGAATGTGAATAAAAAAGAAGAACAAGCAAGTGACAAAAAATACAACACTGTTTAAAATTATTCCGTGGGACCGGTTTTCCCTAAAAATCACAGCATATCTACGGAGGGCATGATAATGAGTGGGGGGAAGCATCCATCATTTTTTGCTTCCGTCCGTCCATGCGTCCGCCTGTGCGACCGTCCGTGCGTCTGTCTGTCCGCTTGTCCGTGCATTCGTTAATATGTGCGTTCATCCGTCTGTGCGTCCGTCCATCGATCCATGCGTCCGTCTGTCCATGCGTCCGTCCGTCCGTCCATCCGTCCACGCGACCATCCATCCGTCTGTCTGTGCATTCGTCCATGCGTGCGTCCATCCGTCTGTGCGTCGATCCATCCGTCCGTCCGTGCGTTTGTGCATCTGTCCGTGCTTCCGTTCATCCAATTGTACGTCCGT